AGGAGGAGGAGGAGGAGGGAGAGGGGATGCAAGCATATAATGACAGCCAGCACTCCAGGTCCCGCATGCTAAATGCACCCACAGCCAGCTCACCACAGAGACCTACCTTTTTGGACAGCTTGCGGCTGTCTTCAGCAAAGCGCTTTTCCCTGGGCGTAAAGGTCCTGATACTGGCTTTGACCTAGAAAGACATCCTTGTTAAAAAGGAGGCATTTCTGTGGATTTCATTCCTCTCCTTCTCTTCATGAACCGGAAGGACTGGGAAACCAATCTGTTTTACCCCTTAAGGCCCTGGTGGGGAGTGGAGAACGGCGGTCCCCCCAACCCCCGTGTGCATGTGTGTGCATGTGTGTGCGTGTGTGGGGAGGAGGGTCTCATTGCATGAACTTCACTTGGGTGGGGGAGACCAGATCAGGTCTTGGAAAGTGACAAGATGTCTGCAAACCAACGGAAATATTTAAACCACCGCAGAGATCGGCTTCATGAAGTTCTCAGGCTAAAGTCTCTGAAATGGGGTAGTCTCTGAAAAGGAAAACCTCCCTTCATGTCACAGCTTTGAGCTATGTTTTCACCAGTCATACCTGGCACGGGAAAATGAGCTTCTGGGTTATAAACCTATTTTGTACAGAAAAATCTCATTTCCTCTCCGTGATCTGGAAAAACAGGATGAATACCAGTTGAGAACTGGAGTGTCCAGTACGGATTTGATGGTTGAAGGGTTTTTTGTTGCTGTTTGTTTTAAATATGTTTTTGTTGATTTCAAAGAGGAAGGGGGGGGGGAGAAACATCAATGATGAGAGAGAGAATCATGGACCGGCTGCCTCCTGCACGCCCCACATGGGGGTCAATCCCGCTACCCAGGCCTGTGCCCTGACTGGGAGTCGAACTGTGACCTCCTGGTTCATAGGTGGATGGTCAACCACTGAGCCACACTGGCTGGGCAATGGTTGGGTTTCAAAACACTGTTCTCTTTCTCTCTTTCTTTCCCTCTCTCTCTGTGCAAACCTTCTAAAACATTTTACACGGATTTGAGTCTCTCTAGGCTGGCCACCTTTCCCATTAGATCTATGGCCCAGTTAGACTTACCGGGTTATAGATGAGATCCATTTCCAAGTAAATGACCCCTTTAAAAGCTTGTTCTAAATCTTTATTCTTCAATACGTAGCAATTTGTTTGTCCATCTCGAATCTGTTGTAAGCAAGAGATAAAGTACAAATGTTTGCTGGGGTTTATACTACACAAACTCACAGAGTTGAGGATGCAAGATGCACACACAGATGAAACACCTGTTAGGCAAATATTAACATCATCTTAAATCAACTTATCATTGTAGAATGCTCTTACAGTCTATTAAAAGCTAAAGCAATAATTACCAGGTTGATACTGATGATCTAAATGGAAAATTAGTGGCCTGGATTACGGCATCTCCATGGGCTTTCCTTCAGAAATCTCAGAGGTTATACATTTCTATTTATTAAAACAAGGTAAATATTCTACAAAATCCCTGGCCAGTATTCCTCAAGACAGCCAAGGTCATGGGAAAAACGGAACCTCTTGGAAACTGTCACAAATAGGAAGACTTTGGAGATAAGACGACTAAATGCCAAGTGTGGCAGGTCCCCTGGGCTGGATGCTGGAACAGAAAAAGGACATCATTGGGAAAGCTGGTGGCATTCAAACAAAGACCACAGGTTAGTTAACAGAAATGGACAATGTCCGGTTTTATGGAATTTTAGTTTTTGTTGTTGTTCTTCTCTTTCTCGTTGTTGTTTAGTTTTGACCAGTGCATCATGGGCATAAAAGTTGTCAACATTAGGGGCAATGAGGAGAGAGAAAATCATGAACCAGCTGCCTCCTGCATGCCCCCTCCTGGGGATGGAGCCCACAACCCGGGCCTGTGCCCTGATCAGGAATGGCACTGTGACCTCCAGGTTCATAGGTCGATGCTCAACCACTGAGCCACGCCGGCCGGGCCAAGCCATATTTTCATTGACTATTGCTGTCACTCCAAGCGCTCGGCACAAGGGTTCTTATAAACAGTGGTGGAAATGAGTCGAGTAAGTCAGGGCGGGAAACAGAGCCATTCCACTTTACAAGGGAGGGGTCACCTTCCTTCCCGAAGTCACCCCACCTCTCCAGATTGAATGGGTCCTCAACAGAGAGATGGCTTTCCTGGCCAGCGGCAAAGAGGAAGGGGGTGCCCCATAAAGACCTGGTTTCCTTCCGAAACGGGTTCCAAACAGGATTCGGAGCTTCCTCCTGTGTCCGCGGTCTCACTTAATAAATTGTGGGTGTGAAAGTTGAAAGAAATAAATACAAAAGCGGCGTGACCGTTTGCCAAGCTGACTGGCGTCCAAGTGAGCTCTGCCTCGACCCATAGGCATTGTACGCTGTTATCTTAAAATTTCCATGATTTCTTAAGGGCCAGGGGAGGTCAAACAGAAGGACAAGAGGTATCAGTATAAAAAGAAGTATTTTATAGTCAAAGAGGTTTTTTTGTGGGTTTTTTGTGTGTGTGTGTGTGTGTGTGTGCATGTTTTTTTAATTTGGTAAATGATCGTTTCCTCTTTCTCAATGTCCTACCATTGTGTCAGCAAAACACAGAATCCACCGAGGGACATAAAAGTAATCAGACTGTCCATTTCCTTGTAACGCTGGGCATTTTTATTTAACACACAGCAATTTTGGAGTAATGAAAAGGCCTCAGCTATAATTAAGGCTATTCCTGTTTGGCACCTGAATATCATATTACCTTAAAATATCTAAATTACAAGTTGAAACATTTTTTTTTTAAGTTTGAAAAATAACAGAAAAAAAAAGAAAGTTTCTCTGAACTTCCAAAACTAAGAAATGAAAGTTTCTCTGAACTTCCAGAGTTCTTCCCCCTACATGGAAACTAGATAGAAATTTGGCATAGATCCTTCCTAAGTTTTTATCGAAACTTTACATTCGTAAACTATATGGACTTTGCAACTTCATTTTAGCATCTATCAATATGATTCAGATTTAAAAGTGTATAGTAGTGTATGGATCTGCCTCAGTTCTTTAAAGTGCTATGTAATATTCAAAATATAAATAATCCACACACTTTCTGAATTTTCCTGTCGATTCCACTCTTTCTGGCTGGCTGCTAGAAGGAAACTCTTTGGGGAAAAGGTCGCGGATAAGGGGAAGAGGAAATATGCTACTTTGTATGTGGAATAGGCTGGGCTTCAGAATAGATCCATGTGTTTAAATATTTAGTATTATAATTAAACACTGAAAATAATAACCTATTATTACAATGGGGAATGTCTCCCATATATTTTTTACGCATAAATGATTTTCTGTATTTTGATCAAACATTTTCTAGGATAGAGTCCAAGAAACGGAATGTAGATAGTTCATGAATATGATCCTTCTTTAAAATTTTATTTTACTGTTTAAGGTATTACAAATAGTAGCACATATGTCTCCTTTTTTTCCCCATTGACCTTCCCCCCGGCCTCCCCTACCCCCCATCACATGCCCTCACCCCATTCCCAGTGTCTTATATTATTTTTTAAATTCAAAAGAGGGAAAATATATACCTTAACATAAGACTAAAAACTAGGTGTCATTCACAAGCCATTTCTGTGTACTTGTCACTGTTTTCCCTGATTATTTCACACCCACCTCTGAGATATATAAACTTTTTAAATTCACATTTTACAGATTAGGTAACTAACTGAAGAACACAGGAGTTATGCATCCCCAGAAATAAATCCCTAGAGGTGGAACTGCTGACTCACAGGATGTATCTATTTTGATGGCTTTCCCCTCCTACAGCGCTGTATCAATTTATACTCCTGGCCTCTGTGAACCACACCAGCCATTTCCTTACAACGCTGGGCATCTGTATTTCATATACAGCAATTTCACAGGAATAAAAAGGCCTCAGGTTGTTTTAATATCGACTCTTTTTTATAACTAATGAGACTGAACGTTTTCTCTCCGAAGTTTATTAACAGTGGGCCGTGGTAGGACTGGGAGAGCAGACAGACTTAGACTCAATTCCCACGTCTGGCATTTAGCATCTGTGTGGCCGGGGGTAATTATCTCTCTTCGAGTCTCAGATGCTGCTCTACAATAGATACCCAGAATACAAATGCTCCAACATACGTGTATGTTACATCTTAATCCATTTTATCAAGGTGCCTTCTACAAGGCTTGTACCAAGTCATGCTCTCTCTGATAGTGTTTGAGAGTCCTTTTTCTTTTTAAAATATATTTGTATTGATTTCAAAAAGGAAGGGAGAGGGAGAACGAGAGATGGAAATATCAATGATGAGAGAGAATCATGGATCGGCTGCCTCCTGCACGCCTCTCACTGAGGATCGAGCCCAAAACGGGGGCATGTGCCCTGACTGGGAATGAACCGTGACCTCCTGGATCATAGGTCGACGCTCAACCACTGAGCCACACCTGTTGGGCGAGAGTCTTTTCCTACACTTAGTGATCACTCCTAGTGAAAAATCTTTACTATAGGTGTCAATCTGACTGATTAAACTAATTTAATGACCTGATGTAAAGGTGATGGTGATAGCTTACACTGTCAGTGCTTACAGATGCTATACTGCAATCACTTTACATTGGCCAAACTATGTAAATCCTCACCCCAAACCTCCAATGTAGGTATCATGATAATTATCTTCATCTCATCAAGGAGGAAATAGAAACAGAGAGGTTTAGCATCCTCAAAAATCACACAGCCCGTTGAGGAAAAAGAATGGATGCCAATCCAAGTGGCCTGCTCCCTCGTCTATTCTCCAAATAATCATAATCTGACTGAATGAAGCACAAGCCATTCATATGATTATTAGTTTAACTGTTCTGATTCCTACCTCTTCAAATTAACGTTTCTGCTGGGTAGACATGTCTTTTCTTTATTGATGGAAAAGACACACCTTTTCCATGTTGGTGATATTATTCATTTTTTTAAGTTTCCACTCATACTCCTCAATAAAATTTAGGTGTGTTATTCCTAGTGATCCCTATATTTCTTGTTCTTTCATAATTCCTCATGTGTTTTTCTCTTTTTTTCATAGTCTTGTTAATGGCTTGCCTGTTGAATTACATTTTACAGAATTACGTGGATTTGTCAAATACACCATGTCCATATTTTCCATGTTGCTCACTTTTTAAGGTTCATTATGTCCTTTCTAATGTCCTTAGTTTTATTTGCTTTTGCTGAGATGCTTAAATGATTTTCAACCTTTGTTGTTTAATTATGAAAACATTCGAGTTAAGAATTTCCTCTGAATAATACTTTTGGCCCTTCTCCGCGGTTTTTTTTTTTCTTCCATTGTTATCTTTTTATTTGTTCGAGGAGAAAACATTCATTTCCAAGTGGGACATCATGTAATCGGGTGATTTTTTAAATTGCTTTGAATGAAATCTGAAATTAGGACCGTACTTTCATTCATTATTGAATTGAAATATAAAACACGGATACCTAAACATACAAATCCCTTGGAAAGGTTGGTGTATTATCACAAAGGGAACATACCTAGATAGCCTTTAGGAATCCTCATGGAATTACTAAGCCCTCTTTCCTTTCCCTAGGTAATTCTCCGCGGTTTTTAAATGGACTATTGCACTGTTCCTTTCTAGAGCTGCAGTTTTGGTATCCACATGAGCTACTTGGGATTTTTTCCCCCCACTAAGTGTTTTGATACTTGCTTCCCTTTTGTTATTAACTTCTATTTTCCCAGTACTGTGATCACAGTAAAGTCTCTTTTTATTGAAGCATTTGGGACCTACAACACGATCAATACACGAACATGTTCAATGGGAATTTGATCAGAATATTTTACATATTTACGTGTGTGTATGCACACACAGGCATGAATTAAGCTCACTGCTCATTCTCTAAAGTTGGAGACCAATCACTTTGATATGCCTAAAATGCACCTGAGAACTTGCTAGAAAAGGAGACTGCAGCCCGGCCGACATAGCTCAGTGGAGGAGCATCAACCTATGAACCAGGAGGTCACGGTTCGATTCCCGATCAGGGCACATGATGCCCGGTTGCGGGCTCGATCCTTCAGTGTGGGGCGTGCAGGAGGCAACCGAACCATGATTCTCTCTCATCATTGATGTTTCTCTCCCTCTCTCTGCCTCTCCCTTCCTCTCTGAAATAATATATACATATTTACACATATTTTTATTTTTTTATTTTAAAGGAGACTGCAGCATCTCATCCCCAGAAATTCAGTAGCTATGGGATGGTGTGGGGGGCCTTTCACTATTAACACACACTGTGCAACTTGGACTTTCAAAATTTGGGCTTTCAAGAAATATCACAGCCTTATTTATTTTTTCCTTCTGATATATTTAAAGCTGAATAGATCATATGTGTGATCATTTTGTGATTCTAATTTTGTAATATTTCCTGTATTTCTAATAACACACACACACACACACACACACTTCTATGCAAAATCATTCACATAGACCAGTGGTTCTCAACCTTCCTAATGCCATGACCCTTTCAGTTCCTCATGTTGTGGTGACCCCCAACCACAAAATTATTTTCGTTGCTACTTCATCACTGTAATTTTGCTACTGTTATGAATTGTCATGTAAATATCTGATAGGCAGGATGTATTTCATTGTTACACATTGAACATAATGAAAGCATAGTGATTAATCACAAAAACAATATGTAATTATATATGTGTTTTCCGATGGTCTTAGGTGACCCCTGTGAAAGGGTCGTCTGACCCCCAAAGGGGTCGCGACTCACAGGTTGAGAACCGCTGGTATAGAGCCAGCAGCAACCAGCTCTCTAGGACTTGTTGCTGGTTCCGTCTGGTCCTCCATATATATTACATATGCTTCGTGGTAACTCCAGCATGTCAAAGCTACGCTCATAGTTTGAAGGGCCAATAGAGAAATTTGCCTTTCTGTATATCTTCGTTTTTGTATTTCAATGGACATATTGAACCAAAATCAGGCGAGGAGGAGAACTGAACATTTGTGTTCAAAAATCACCATGTGAGCCCTGCCTTGGGACTACTTTTAATATTTTTTAAATTTAGTTTCCCATATATAAGTATTAACACAAAGTAAAAGATCAATGTTATTTATTTTAATGGCCAAGATTTCAGCATTAACCACAAAGCAAAATGATGGTGTAAATGTGTCCATTCGAATGTGCAAATCTCATCACAGGTGCACCGTGGGCAAATACGCGATTGGAAATGCAAATGGGGACTTGCATGGACATTTACTATTCGGGAGGAGCAATTACAGGAAATTTGTCCCATAAAACTAATTAAGTGAAGCTGTTGCTGGTGCAGCTCACGACTGCGCACATGGATTCACAGAGGAAGCTGAAGGCTGCGTGAGGCGTGCGTCTGATTACAGATTCACATGCTGGCATGGATTGCACTGAGAATTAGAATTTGTTTCGAAATGTAGGGCCTCCTCATGCCGCAGACATTCGGAAATAATACTAAAAAGATGCTCTTCTTATTTTACAGAAATATGATTCTCAAAGCCTTCCTAGGTTGGCCCATTAGATAATTCTGAGAGGGTAAACATATCCTATATAATAAAGAGCTAATATGCTAATTAGACCGAACAGCCAAACGACCTTCCAGATGTCCTTCTGGACGACCTTCAGGATGAAGCCGGGGCTGCAAAGGCTGGATGAGGCTGAGAGGGGCTATAAGGGCCGGCCAGGGCTGCAAGGGCCAAGCCCATTGCATGAATTTCGTGCACCAGGCCTCTAGTCTTTAAATAAAAAAGAATGACCTAGATCGATGAGAAAAATCCAGCCAGATTTTCAGGACAGCATTAGGACCGTTTAGTTGTGGATAGACATGTTAAATAAATCTACTGAATCAGGTAATTATTAGGAGATGGTGTCTAGCCTGGAAATGTTTTAAAACTCTCCAATGGGTATACTATTTTCCAACGCATATTTACTATGTTATCAATCAGAAGATTTAAGGAATAAAACGTTTCCTGTTAGAGATACTTAGTGTTTTGGCATATTTTTAGTTAGAATTATAGCTAGACCAGTGGTCGGCAAACTGCGGCTCGCGAGCCACATGCGGCTCTTTGGCCCCTTGAGTGTAGCCACGAAGTTTCAATCGCACTGTACGTGCGCGCCCGCATGTGGTATTTTGTGTAAGAGCCACACTCAAGGGGCTGCAGTTTGCCAACCACTGATCTAGACGTTAGGTAGAGAATCAGTTCAGTTGGAGAGCGTGTGCTGCAGGAAGAGCCCCTATAGACCCTCTGAGGAGGTGATCACTTCCCCAATTTATTGATCAAGGAATCGGAAATCAACACCTTGCCTGACCCGCGTGGCTCAGTGGTTGAACACAGACCTATGAACTAGGAGGTCATGGTTTCAATTCCTGGTCGGGGGCACATAACCCGGTTGTGGGCTCGGTCCCCAGTAGGGGGCGTGCAGGAGGCAGCCAATCAATGATTCTCTCTTGTTATTGCTGTTTCTATCTCTCTCTCCCTTCCTCTCTGAAATCAGTAAAACCATATTTAAGAAAAAAGAAAAAAAAAAAAAGGCTGGTCAAAACGGTTTGGTAGGTTCAATCATATTGGACTGACACAGCGAGAAAATTACGTCACTTTATATTTGAAACTACTGGAATAAAACAGTTGTTTCCGGCTAGAGTGTAAAGTGTCCTCCTGGCCCAGGTTGAAAAGATGAAGCAGCTTAAGACCATAGAAAGTTGTCAACCGCACAATGACTCACAAACTGTGTATTAACAAAGGCAACTTACGGACAGCAAGGGAATGGAGACTTTCCCAAGGAAATCCGGGGGTTTGTCGCCGTCCTCATCAAACACTGTCACTTCCAAAGCATCGTGAACGTCTTTAACACGGCTGCAACGAGAAACACACCGCGGATCACATACAAACACACACACACACACACACACACACACGCACACACACGTGGAGTCGGTTCCGTGAAGATCTGAAAACACGGTTTCACTAATTAAGTCTGCGTGTCCTCAGAGTATAAAACTACCATTTAATTAAACTCCAAAAATTAAATCAAACTGACGATATTCCCAAGCCTTCCATCAGAGCAGATTCAGTCATCCATACGAGAAAAGGCCAACTTTCTTACTAGGTGACATTTCCCGTGTCTGCGTGCACGCAGGGTGGGGCCCTTAAAGAAACAGGATGAAGAGGGAATGGGAGACAGAAGGAGGTTTGTAAAAGGACAGTGATTTCGAAGTAGCTTCCGAGTGAGAAAAGCAAAACTAAGATTCTTTTTAAATGAATGAAGAATTCACTTAAAAATCAGTGGCTAAAGTCACTGTTTGCTGCCCTCGCTGGTTTGGCTCAGTGGATAGCGGGTTGAGCCTGTGGACGGAAGGGTCCCAGGTTCGATTCCGGTCAAGGACACAGGCCCAAGGGATGCAGGCTTGATCCCTGATCATGCAGGAAGCGGCCGATCCATGATTCTCTCTCATCATTGGTGTTTCTGTCTCTCTCTCCCTCCCCCTTCCTCTCTGAAATTATTAATTTTTTTTAAAAGATGCCCCCGGATAGTCCAGAGGCTAAAGGACTTACAACGTGAAAACTTTGTTCCACTCGGGGTTGAGGGTCTTGTAGATGGTGTGCGTCTGCAGCCGGTCGTTGCCCAACTCCAACAAGCAGAACGGGTCGCTCTTCCCTGGAAGGAAAACACAGACGTCGGTCAGAGACACAGGGATCTCAGACGTGACAGAGGCCAGTGAACCAAGGCCAAGCGCTTCCCTCCCGGTGCCACTGTGCTGGCTGACAGGTGAGAGCGAGCCGTCTCCCCCGCAAGCCGCATGGGAGCCCTGGGTCCTGCCGATGCTACAAGTGTGGCGTCGTTAACAGGCTGGCACTGACACGCAACCCGGTGCCCGGGACCACACAGGTGGCATGGGAGCAGGTGGTACACTGTCACGTGAGCGAGTCCACTTTTGTGTGGTTGTTTTTACATGTTTATTGATTTCAGAGAGGAAGGGAGAGGGAGAGAGAGAGAAACATCAATGATGAGAGAGAATCATGGATCGGCTGCCTCCTGTAAGCCCTACACTGGGGATCAAGCCCACAACCCGGGCCTGTGCCCTGACCGGGAATCGAACCCAGGATGCGTGAGTCTGCAGGCCAATGCTCTATCCACTGAGCCAAACCAGCTAGGGCTGGTGTTTTCTTTTTAATCAGAAGCTCATCTCTGCTCCCTTTTTAGATTCTCTTTGAGTTACTATAGGTCCTTATTCTTCTATAATGGGAAGCCTACAATAGCTTATAGGCCTCCCATGGTGTGATGGAAGCAGGAAAAAGTATTAACATGGCTATTTAGGAGTTACAACAGCTTTGCAGGGAGTGGCCACACACATATGGGATCCTATATATTCAATACGTTGTGAGCACATATGCTATGTTTGTTGCTTGCAAATGCGCAAAAGTTCAATCCCAGAAAGTCAGTTCCAAGTTTTGGCCTTAAAAAAAGAAAAGCTTGCATGGCTGGGGTGGCTCAGTGGTTGAGCGCTGACCTATGAACCAGGAGGTCACAGTTCGGTTCCTGGTCGGAGCACATGTCCAGGTTTTGTGGGCCCAATCCCCGGTGTGGGGCGTGCAGGAGGCAGCTGATCCATGATTCTCTCTCATCATTGATGTTTCTATCTCTCTCTTCCTCTCCCTTCCTCTCTGAAATCAATGAAAATATATTTTAAAAAAGTAAAGCCCTAGTTGGTTTGACTCAGTGGATAAAGCACCGGCCTGTGGACTGAAGGGTCCTGGGTTCGATTCCAGTCAAGGGCACATGACCGGGTTGCTGGCTCCATCCCCAGTTGGGGGGCGGGGGAGGAGGCAGACAATCAATGATTCTGTCTCATCGATGTTTCTCTCTCTGTCTCCCTCTCCCTTCCTCTCTGAAATCAATAAAAAAATATATTAAAATAAATAAGTAAATAAAAATAATAAATGAACGGCCCCAATGTTCCCCCAGGGCACGGAGCAGACACATACACACTCGGGGTCTGTGCTCCACCTGTGTTTGCAGGTGACGCATGCAGGTGACCTCGGCCACAGCCAGATGCCGTGTCACCTTGACAGTTTCACGGTGTTTTAGCACCTCCCCCTCCATCGCCTTTGCTCCGACCGACCCCACTTGACAATTCATCGACATGCCTCGAACGGCATGCGGAGGTGTCTCATTTAAATAATTTTACCTTTATGTGAGTTACAGAAGTGGGATGACAAGTAATAAATGGATTTTAGAGGTCACATCATTCATCTGACAAATATTTATTAAGTGTGCCCTCTATGCCTGGCACGGGACCAGGCCCTGATGTACACAGGCCACCAGGTCATTACCTTAATGGAACCCTCATCAAAGTTCAGCTTTTTTTTTTAGCAAATGTCACCTTTTCCATGAAAACTGCCCTCATGTTCCCGGCCAGTGGGCTGCGTGCTCCCACCTTTGACTCCTGGCTGTGTATTTTCCCTGTGTCTCCTACATCCCACATCTATGCATCTCTGTTCTGTAGTGAGCCCTGTATTTCACGGAACCGGCCCGATGCAGGCAAACCCAACATATGCCCACATGGGCCAGTGACGGAGGACAGTGGGGACGTTGCTGGCTGCTGGGGACGGGTGTCGGCTGGACAGAGCGATGCTTTATGAAGGTTCTCATTTAACCCTCCAGGAGGTAAGGAATGTTGGTGCAGAAGAGGAAGCTCAAGTTCAAGGAAACCTAATCTGGTTGATTAAAGTCTACAAGGAATTCACAGTGCAGGTGAATTTTAAGCAAGGCTTGGGAGGGGACTGATTTGTTTAGCAGAAACGGGTAGGTCTTTCTTAATGAGACAGGGACAGATCAGAGCCTTAAAATGATTAACAAGATAGCCTGGCCGGCCTGGCTCAGTGATTGAGCATCAACCTATGAACTAGGAAGGAGGTCACGGTTCGATTCCCGGTCAGGGCACATGGCAGTGTGGGGCGTGTAAGAGGCAGCCGATCCATGATTCTCTCTCATCACTGGTGTTTCTATCTCTCTGTCCCTCTCCCTTCCTCTCTGAAATCAATAAAGATATTTATTTAAAAAGGCACAGAGCACCTCAATGGAATAAAGGCAACAAGTAGATGCTGTTTCTATGGAGGTACCAGAGAAAAGTCTTACCAAAAGATTAATTTAGCAAAGTCATGACATTAAGAATCCACAAGTATCCTGAAAGCTAAACGCTCAAGTACATTATCGAATCATAGCACAATTATTTGAAAAATAATAATTTGGTGAAGAAATTATTCCTTCCTTCAAAAAAATGGCTTATCTGCATCTTATTTTTTCTGCTCCTCTATTTCAGCAATTTTTCAAATGAAGTGCCGCAAGAATTTTTAAAACATGCAATACTATTAATCCGGGGCCCTGACCTCTTTTCCCTGAGATTATCAAATTTTTAAAAATGACAACAGCCAACACAACAACAGCCACCTGGTGTGAATTCCCTGTATTGAGCCATAAACATATAGGTCATATAACGGAGCTCTATCTTATTGGTCATGTCACCTAATAAGATTGCATCGGATTGGTTAATTCCTGGTACCAGAAATCCTCATATACATAGTACAAATATAAGCATCTGATTTTTTAAAAAAGTCACTTTGGAGCAAAAAGGAAAAAAATTACTATCATTTTTCCCAGTAAATCAATCGAAACTGTAACTTTTTTTTTGGTCAGATCAGCAAAAGGTGTATTTTTTGAATTTCGGTAAATAGTTTATGTGTGCCATGAGATGAAACAGGTCGAAAACCACTGCTTTATTTGGAAAAAGCATGATTGCTGTGTACATGCAACTGGTTTGGCTCAGTGAATAGAGCATCAGCCTGCGGACTGAAGGGTCCCAGGTTTGATTCAGGTCAAAGGCATGTACCTTGGTTGTGGACACATCCCCAGTAGGGAGTGTGCAGGAGGCAGCTGATCAATGTTTCTCTCTCATTGATGTTTCTAGCTCTCTAACCCTCTCCCTTCCTCTCTGTAAAAACTCAATAAACTATATATATATAATAAATAAAAGTGCATGAAAATGGTTCCTACCTGAGAAATCAGCAGCTAAGAGGTCCACAGCCTTTAAAACCTTCACTTGTAAAATGCCGATGTCCTTCATGTCTTTCAGGGAGTTCTGCAAACACTGAGGGGAAAAAACACACACACGTGGATCAGAGATGAAGCAGCTTTCTCCGACCCCCTCGTGCCACAGCGCCCTCCAGGAAAAGCTTTCTCCACAGACCGCGGCCTTTCTCACACATCCGCTCGGAAACCTTGCACAGTGCACCGTATCCGTCACCAGGACACTGAGGCATCGACAGCAACCAGATGACAAGCGCCTGAGAGTTAATTAACTCCAGCTCCGAAATGAACACATTGCACACACAGACAATCGACTTTTAACACGGCCCCGTGGCGACAGTGCGGGCATCCCACCGGGAAGATGCGTGTGGAGGGGCAGTCCTTCTCCTTGTCTCCGACTTCTGCTGTAATGAAACTTTTCAATCACCTGGGAAGGCACCATTATTCTGACCTCGTTTGTGCGAACTTTATGGAGAACCAGAGGACAACACGTGGACCCTCTGTGGATGGTCATTACCGCAGGAAAGAGAGGAGGATGCAGTTGGAGAGTGAATTTTCTGGTCCATGCTTTAGCTAGTTCATGGCATGGGAGAGGGAGCATCCAGCATCAGGTCTGCATTTGCATTTAACATTTGCATTTATGCTAATTTTTTGTTTGCTGAGACTTTGACACGGGGTGGGGCAAAAGTAGGTTTATAGTGGTGAGGATGCGAAACATATAGTTTATTCTTGCATTATAATTCATTAGTTATTGTAGTAGTTTCAATAGAAACAACTGTTAACCTATGTTGGCCCACCCGGTATATCTACTGATATATGGCATTAAGTAAATATCTATCCAATATACCTTCTAATTCTTAAGCATGTACACAGCCAATATTCAGAAGTCTATGTACATTATGTCCTTCAAAACGTGAGTATCAAAGAGATATAAGCAGATAAAATCATTCGAATGCTTTCAGCACACACTTACTGAACATGATGCCACTTTTAAACCTTTGGATATAGTAATTGTGCCATCATCAAATAACTAAAAACCTGTGATAGGATGACCCGGGGAGCTTATGGCAGGATTAAAAAAAATCCTTATTATTGAAGCATTTCAGGGTAGAATAATAAAAGCTTCATAATAATTAAGATTTGCTTAACCTAACATGCACTGTTGCTAAGAACTTTCTAAAGCTATTTGTGATCTGCATTTTCAACAAAAAAATAACAAAAAAAAGACTAGCGTTTAAGCCTAAATAAAAACATATTAAGTGAAATAATTTTCAACTTTGAAGACTGTCTATTCTGACGACATAAAAAAAACAAATCCAGCCCAGCCCAGCCAGTGTGGCTCAGTGGTTGAGCACAGACCCATGAACCAAGAGGCACTGGTTCGATTCCCAGTCAAGGCACATGCCTGGGGTTGCAGGTTTGATTCCCAGTAGGGGGTGTGCAGGAGGCAGCTAATCAATGATGTTTCTCTCTCATCGATGTTTTTATCTCTCTATACCTCTCCCTTCCTCTCTCTCTCTAAAATAAATAACAACTTTTTTTTTAATCCAGGTGTCTGAAACTTGTGTCTTGTAATATAGCATTCTTTTCTGATGCAGATGAGAAATAGCTTTAGAAAGTTCTTAGCAACAGTGCATTTTAGGTTAAGCAAATCTTAATTATTATGAAGCGGCTCACTAACTAAAAAAAAAAAAAATTGTAGCTCTAGCCAGTTTGGCTCAGTGGATAGAGTGTCAGCCTGCTGACTGAAGGGTCCCAGGTTCGATTTCGGTCAAGGGCATGTACCTTGGTTGCGGGCACATACCCAGTAGGGAGTGTGCAGGAGGCAGCTGATCGATGTTTCTCT